GTGATGGGGGGGAGGGGGTGGGGAATTTTCAACTTGCACGAATTTTTTTTTTTCGCCCACTGCTTGTGCAGGAATATTTTTTTCAGGTGAACCCCTCTGCACGAATTTTTTTTTTTTTCAGGCAAATATTGCTTTTTTTTAACTGTGAAATCTTGATTCATTATCAAAGGGGGGGTCACCATCCGGGGATCGCCGACTATATATGGTTTATACCGCTGCTCTCCCTCGTGTATCAGCGGGCTCAATCGTATTATCGCGGCATGAAGGCCCATATTAACTAAAGACAAGAGCCGTTGACGAAAATACTTTACAAAAAAAACAAATTTAAAAAAAGAGGGCTTTTCAACAATGGCTTTTACGGCCAAGATATTGTCATGGCGTTTTCGCCACCTGAATATTGTAGGCTGTTTGCTCAAAAGAAGGCCTACCAAGGGGGGGTCACGGGCACCCCAGGACCCCCCTAGCTACGCCCCTGTTGACGGCAATCTAAATCTGAAGGAGCATATCAGTAACACTTGTTCCAAAATACTAGGAAATAGTTTTTATTCAGTGATCGACGAATAAAACTTTATTGGTCAATGCATGCTAGGCTTGAAAGTTATGTTTACTCACTTTGTTGGGAAACATGCTTATCAAAATTTGGTACAGGTACCGGTATGAGCTTGCTAAGAAGTTGGCATGCATGAGAGGTGGGGCTATGGTCATGTTAGTGAGTCCAGAACTCCTTTCTTTGAAAGTTGAGTTTCTTTGTCTGAAGCCAGAGGAGTGTGACAATAGCCTGCGAGGCTGGCGGGATTATGACAAGCTCGCCCGCTATTCACCCCACCTACCCGGCCCAAGTTAGAGATTTAGGGCATTCTAGTTATACCTAAAATGTGTCTAAAAATAAACTGGTCCGTAAATCGCCCTGACCTAGGCCTAGCAAGGGAGTTGCTCGCTTCGGGTTACGGGCTCCTGCTTCCCCCCCGCCTCCTCCCCCCCCCCACCATGGAACCATCAAACCTAAATTTAGTGTTTAAAATTGCCGGTACTTTAACTAATTTAAAAATTGAAACTGTAACTTTTGTCCGAAAACTTTTAGGGTAGGCGGGGGGGTAGGGGGGGGGGGCTGTAAAGGCCATAAAAGGGAGAACCCCCTCCCTTGGCAGTTGATGTTGTGGCCTCGGGCTTTTGATGAAAAATAATGGCAATCGAGTGCAGGGCAAACATCATCCCCTCCTTCTCCCCCTTGGATTTGCAGAGAATACCAGAATGAGATACTGTTTTGTTTTTTACTTGTCATGACCAGGAAAAAAACGTACATGATTTCATTTTCTCTCTCTGTTTTAATTGCTCGTATTCAACATAAAGAAATGCCAATAAAGAAATAAAATAAATTGGGAACCGAACCTAGCGGTGGGGGGGGAGGGGGGCGGCGGTTACTCCGGATTTCAAGTGACAGAGATGATCGAAGGATTTTTGGAGGCATGAAATTTTCGATTCCCGGTTTTTTCGGGTAGGAAAGTTTGGCAAGAATTTTTCAATCAAGTTTTTAAATAGGGATTTTTTGGGGTATTCAAAACAATCTGAATTGCGAAGATTCTTGGTAGTGTCCGGCAGCGTACAGGCGGTGTGCGCACTACGACTGCGATGCATTGTGGATTCAAAATTTTCAAGATGGCGGCGAAGGTCGAGAAATTTCGCAGGTTATATGCTTTATTTTTCAATAGATACAGTTCTTTCCTTAGATAGTTTTTCTCGATTTCACAAGCTAATATTTGTTTAGATTTTTTCTGTGAAGAAAAACAAATCAATATTCTTCATTTCAATCTAAAACGTGGAGCCCGAAGATTCCTCCTGTAAGAGCATGAAATTTGAACCCGGTTTTTAAGAGGCTATAATTTCCATTATATTGCCCGTCGAAAGTAGAAGATAGTTGTAAGTGTTTCTACAAACCTTGTTCTACGCTAATTTTTTATCGCTCCCCAACGCGCCCCACGTTTTGTGATACTTTTTCCGAATTGAAACCGGCATGTTTTCATGGGAAAATGTAGCCTCGCGAAGACCAATGTGACATGTTACTGGAAGTGTTACTGTTGTAATCACAAGCTGATCACAAAATAGCGGGGCAGCGGCGACTGGTTCCTCCAAACAATAGCATTAGGTGAGCATAAAATGTTCGAAACTGGTATATAAATAGGCTGATGAGTACTCTGATGTAGGAATGTCTGTTTTTGTAATAGGACTAAAAAAGCATAATAAAATTGCAGTCATACATGTCACTCTCTTTATGCAGGTATAAAATCAGTAGGATTAGAATTACAGGTATTAAATTAAATGATAAGTTTGATTATACAGTTAAGCCCTGTGCATTTTGAAACCAGCAATCTACTTCCAAGATTGGTGTGTGTTGTTGTGTGGATGTTATGACTTTGTCAGTTTCTTGCCTAGTCCCCGTTTTATTCAGTGGTGATTAGCCTCCATAGCAGGCATTTAAAAGGAAAGGGAGAGGGGTTTTGGGCACAAGAGAAATGCGAAGAGTGCACAAGGAAGGAGGGAGTGATTTCAACATTCACCTGGTTGATGTTTATAATGCAAAAAACAATTAGTCTCCAGTATGGCAGGCATTTCCCTCCCTCCTTCCCTCACATTTCTCTTGCACCAAGACCCACTTTCCCTTTTCTTTGAAATGCCTGCCACACAGGCTAAGTGATGTCATTCAATCTGTTTACCCGTTTACACTGTTTAATATATATCAAACAATTTGCATATTTTTGTGGCTTTAGTTAAAATATAAATTGCTTGATCATTGAATGTGCTTTTGATATTGGAAAACCAAGGCTGAAAAAATGGTGACAGGGAAAGGAAATAGAAAAAGTGGAACGAAGGGGCAGTGAAATCATGAGACTAAGAACCTGAATTAACTAAGTAAGCCTAAACAGATTCTTATATAAATAGAAGTTAGCACAAGTTTAGGGTATGGTTTTTAAATGGGTTCATATTTTCTGAAGTAAAAATGTAGCTAAGAGTATTTGTGTTTCACCTTATTCCACATATAAAGTCTGCATACCAAATTAGAAGTTATGTGAGAATGGACATAAAAAGAGGAATGTACTTAAATTTAAACATTGGCATTTACATTGCAGTTGGAGTGATAAGACAGCTTTGTCTCCAAAGAAGATTCTAAATGTTGATTTATCTCTGCTCAAGTGTACAGAATTTTTTCATAGATTTCAAAAATAAGAACCTGTTTCAAATTTTAAGCTAAACAGGTTTTTATATAGAGGGGGCTCATCTGGCATAATTTTATTTTAGCTGAACAGGTTCTTGAAATTCAGGTTCTAAGTCAGGGGGTTTTACTGTACCACTAGGATCCACCTCTGCAATAACTGGTAACCCAAAAGCCCTCTTTACGGACAACCACTTCATACAGACACCTGATCAAGGCTGTGCTCTAGCAGAGCCCTGTGACCCCTGGTACCTAACTTTTGCTTTTGGGTGACTAGAAAATCTCAGACTTTTCATACAAATCATATGCTGGGCAGCCTAGATTTTACAGGTTCAGAGAACTAGGCTCCTTTCAATGTTCCTTAGAGCACAGCCTTGCTCATCATTACAGATAGCTTGCTTTGTTCCCTGGAAAAAAGCCCTTAACTTTTCTCTAAATTAAGATGGTTAATTTCTACGGTCCCCTCAGTGTCTGTATAACAGAATTGACTGTGAGTATGATGAGACCTATGACACCATATTTAAATTATAAAAATTGGGGTGAGGAGAAAGGAAAGGGTCTCAAGCTATGTTGCCCCAGCCCTGATTACAGGGGATTTGTAAACATGTATGAATTTCACATTTTGAAGAGTTTTTATAATCCAAAAAAATATGTGATAACATGTGTTTGTACATACTGACACAATCATTAAACAAATATTGGCTGCAGCTTTTAAAATCTATTGACTGCATCAGGCTTTGTAATCACAAATATGCCATTTTCAGTTTCAATCCAGTTATAAAACATTCTATGACTCATACCAATAGAGAAATATGGCAAAAAAAGATGCTCAATATTATATTACCTATAAAGAGGACACAAGTTCACTGTACACAAATACTCTCTACTTTATTTACTTGTCTTCATGTGATGATAAATACAGATGTTAAGCAAAACGAAATGCAGACTTGGTGCCAAAAGAGAAACAAGTCCTCGAAACGATGACCCCCTCAACTTCGATTCTCTTATTACAGCTAGCAAGTGAACATCTTGCAATGCTGAATGACAAAACAAAATAAGCTATTCTGAAGAAGCTCCTAGTATCTTATGAGTATATCACAGCTATGCACATCAGTACCTCTTAGCACTAGTTGCACTGATTTCACGGTGAATTCAAAAATTTTCGGCGAACCGCGGGTCTTACCTCCACTGCTTTTCATGATTGAAGCATTGAACAAAGCGTTTCTGTGCCGACTTTTCTCGGTCAGTTGCAAACAGGATGCAATTGATTACGAACAAAATACACCAGAATACACTTATCAACGGAATGAGACTGTTTTTTCCCTGAGAATTGGACAGACTTTCTTTTTCAAGGGCTTCCGGAGGACATTCAAAGCAAAATCGTATATATCTACAGCGTAATTAACGAATATTCACTCCGCAGTCGAGGTGTTCACTCCACGCCATCTTGACACAAATGATCAGATTTTGAATACCGCCCATGATGCTTAGCGATCGTAGTGCGCACACCGCCTGGGCAGCGTAGTGCGGCGAATATTTTAAAAAGTGATACCAAACTTGTTTTCAAATTCTTCGTGTCATATCATTTAATGCTTTCTGGAAATTTTAAGGCTTGGAAAGTTTTGGTCCAGGGATTTTATTTGGGTTTTGTTGGAGCCCTAGGGATGTTTTTGAGTTTAGATTTGGCACCATTCGATCATCCCCGTCACTTGAAATCCGAGCTTTTCAGTTTTGTTTCACCACCCCTCTCCACCAGAGTAGGGATTTGTCTCGTTTTAGTGGACTGGGACACGTACAATGCAATGAGGTTTATGAAGTGGCGAGGCGTAATCTTGGCTCTTTGATTTAGTGTGTTTCCTCCTTCTTATGGGGCTGATCAGTTCGTAAGACACTCAAAATATGGATTTAATAATTTCAGCAGCGTTTTGGATGCAAAGCTGAAGTTAAAGCGCTATCTTGGAAGACAAACTTGCGGTACGCGTTACCGCGTCGACAACTCGTGAGGACGCCATTTTGTATCATATCGAATTTTCGTAGCGACTGAACGACGTAAAATTCTAATCAGGACGAAATATGACAAACTTTGAGAGCGGTAACCGAAAGTGGACACAAGATGAAATAATCAACAACACGAAAAATGTTGTTCGAGGGTTAGAAACGTTGAAAAATGAACACTCTGGACTGCTGAATAATCTCGACTCTAATCGCGATAAAAATGAAGATGAATCGGAACTGGAGAGAGAAAAAGGCTCAATTATCCAGGAATCTATCGAGAAGATCGAATTGGGATTAGGAGAGGCTCAGGTATGAAATTAAATCTTAAGTAAAAAGCTGTTTCTTTGCGGTGTTCGTCGTGGTGGAAGTGAAAATATGGTTGTCATAAAAACCTATGGTATGTAAGCGTAATTTCGGTCCTTAATTTCAATTTTAATGCACTTGGTAACAACCGGTTTCGCTACATGCACTTGAACTGAAGAAATTAGGTTACTGTCAACTCTCAAGTTTAAAGAGGGAACGTAAATTTTATAGGCTCGATTGTTTTGTGTAGAGATGTTTTCAACGCCAGTTTATAATTTATCGTTGATGTTTTGTTTAGATCACACTCATTCAACCAACGAGATGATGAGTCAGGTCAATTTTCATATGATCATGAAACTTCACTCAGCAACGTGCCGATCGATTTTATCATTATTGTCGATAATTAATCTGAAAATTAATGTAGCTTTTGTCGGTAAAGTGGGGCTACGGTAGATGAACTTCTGTGGAATATTCACCTTTTGATATAAAACAACTGATGTAGAAATAGATATGTTAATAGTAAGAAATCTATACTTTATATGCCCCTCTAGAACCTTCTAGAATTCTGACTAAAAGTCGGTAAAAAAAAAATAATGAAAAAATAGTTTTTAAATTATGTAAAAATTCAAAATTTCCTCTGTTCTTGGTCAGATGAAATTGGCACAGTTGATCATGTACAGCATCATATGCAAAAAACATTTGTAAACAAAAGTGTTGTTTAAATATTTCTGAGCGGTCATCAGTAACTATGTTTGAGACCTTGCAGAGAGAATATTTTTTATTCTATTAGTTAATAAATTGTGCCAAACCTCCATGGTTATTCTTGGGAAGTTTTTTTTTGCTGTTGCAGTTTGTTTTTATGGAATTTTTTTCTCTGAAAAAAATAACACATGATTGATCATCATTTCCCAGCCTCTTAGCTTCCTTTTCACTCTTGTTTTACTAGGAATTTTTTCTAGGAATTTGTGCTAGTGTTGGGAACTACCTGAGATTTCAGAAATAACTGGACTGACCCTACAGATAGATCATCAGTTACAGTTCGAAAATGTGTTTTTATAAGAATTCTATTCATTTTTTTATCTGTGTAAGTTAAAGTAATATAAACTTTAGGTAAGTTTCGCCAAAATATTGTGACAGTCTAACTAATGCGAACAAATCAAAACCCTTAAAAGAGAATGTTAGAGAAAACTGAGCACAGTCGTTGTGCCGTACCCATGTTTTAGAACATGTCAAAAATGTGAAAAGTATCGTTAGCTGCCAATGATATGATTCTGTTAAAAAGGCAAGGCACAAGTTTTATTATTCTCATTTGGTAACAATCATTTTTTTTCGTATTTTTCTGGACAATGGATTATTATCAGGTGGCTTAAGGTTTTTACCATTGTTTGATTATAATCCATGGTCAGCATACCACTAATTTCTTCCACTAGGAAATATTACAGTGCATTTGTTTTTAGATATGTTTTTATGCCCGTGAAAAAATTGAGTGATAACTATTTTAAAAGGACAAAGTTTTGTGTTTTTTAATATTATAGATGGATATCAATGACTATAAATCCACTTGAATTCTGCACTGTTTGAGGCATTCAAACAATGTAATGAGTCAATACTTTGAGCCAATATCCTTACTGGTGTGATTAAACATTTTTTTATTCTTCCCAAAAGTTGTAGCTGATTACAGGTGTTAACCATTTTCCAAGAACAGAAAGTGGCATTTTTGAATAGTTGAAATAGTTATGATTATTGTCATAACATTCAAGAAGATAAATTAAAGGAAAATGCTAAGTTTTGAAGAATTTTAACAAACTGCTTTTATTACACAAGATCATGGTGTTATACTTGAAATCATTTGATGTGGCAGTTTTCAAAACTTCCTTATCACTAGAAAGTGAAAGCAATAAAATTATTTAAATTTTCTCAAAGTGACGTAAAGAATTTCATCTTTGACAAAGATGGTTTCTGACAGTCCTAAGGAAATTAAGGTTTTTGTCAATGTTTATTGAAGCAGGACAAGATTTGTCAATCTTCAAAGTCATAAGTTTTATGAGATGAACAGCAAGATGTGATAAGAAGGTAAAAAATTTTTACATCCTAACGAAAGCTTTTAAAATTTTATTGCTAATCATATCAGTTATAATTTGTAAATCACATGTAGATGAGATTATTTACAAATATATTTATGATAATTATTCTGCTGAATGAATTTGTCATCTCATGTAGTTGCACTTTCACATTTTTGCAACTGTGGTATGGGTATGATATACACCACTATAGATGTCTCCTCTATAAAATAGTTGACTCTTTTATCCAGGTTTAAATCTACATGGTTTCAGTACTTGGCCTGTAGAAAAATCAAGCTTTTTTAGGTAGGTAGACGCCTCCTGTATTGACTTTCCGAGAGACGTTTGGCTGAGATAAGATTCAAGTACAGCCAGCGTGGCAGGTGGTTTAAAATAAAAAGGGAATGACGAAGAATGAAAATTGGTTTACAAACATCATGAACACACTAGACAAAAATCAAGTAGGATGTTGCAAAGATGGTTGCTCAACTCTTCAGTGCCTTAAAGGTCCTTAGAGTACTTTTAATTAGTCACTTTTGCTTTTTCAAAATACAAGTAATAACATGCAAGAATATTGGTAAGGTTGTGGCATTTTGTCTGCACTATGGGATTTTATCCAGCCATTGAAGAGTAAGAACTACATGCAAGTTAAATGTGTCAAGAATTGATTCTTTGGTTTGACAGGGTTGATATTTGCTCCTTGCTAATATTAGAAAATTTATCCAATTTTTTCTTATCTTTTTGAAATCTGCCTTTGTCAGGTGATGATGGCATTGTGTAGCCATCTTAGTACCGTTGAGGCTGAGAAGCAGAAGTTGAAAGCTCAAGTGCGACGGCTTTGCCAAGAAAATGCCTGGCTGCGGGAGGAACTGTCTGTCACTCAGCAGAAACTACAGGAGAGTGAACAAAAAGTAGCTCAACTTGAGGAAGAGAAAAAACATTTGGAGTTCATGAATTCAATTAAAAAATATGATGATGTAAGTCAGTAGATTCTTCAAATTAATCATGTGTTGATCACATTCTCCCATGCACTCTTGCACAGCTTGAATAAAAGGCTTTTGTTTTATTTTTTTCATTTCATGTTTCCGCACTTCTTGGAACTATTCCAAATTAGGATAAACATGTAAGTTTTACCATTTTTTTGTTATTTACTATGGGTGGGTGGGCTAGAGTTGAGACCATAGGATTGAAACTATCAGTTTCATTTTCACCTCTCACATTTTCTGTGAAATATATCTTTGTATTGACTTTTTTTTTTGTTGTTATATTCATCATCATCATTATAACCCTCCTCATCATCGTCATCATCATCATCATTTACTTATCTGGGTGTTAAATTTATGGTATTTGGTACATGTTTTTGTTGTGGAGCTTCATTAACTCCAAATTATTGAAGTTAGTACTGAGAGACTTAATAAATTCGTTGTAACAGGATGAGGGGATTGAAAATGATATTAGTATCGATCTGCTGTCCCAAGATGAAGAGGAAGTAGATGAAGTTGATGGTATGTAAAATTTTTTGTTTATTATTTGTGTCACATACAGTGAACTCCCACTCCCCATCTCTTTGCCAGGTTCATTTTTCTAAGTGTCCATCGTATAGAGACTTACAGCGTTGTTAAGACATATACGCAAAATTCAGTTGTGACAGGCCAGGTACGATGTACATCCTAGAAAAGTGTTGGCCATATAGGAAAGATTTACAATTTTGAGGATGTTTACTGTACCCTAAACATCAATAGATGTATTATCTTCATTTCCTCAATACCAACACGGAGAATTTGTTTTAAAAAAATAAAAGTAATATCCTTGCTGATTACATCTTTTATTCCCAAAATCACTTGGAGTTTTGTACCATTTTATAATGCGCAAGTCTGGTTTCCTGTTTCTTTAGATGAAACGTTAAGTCAAGCATCGTCTGCAACTTCAGCCAGTGCATCTGGTGTTTATGAGATCCCAGCACGGTTAAGAACTCTTCACAATTTGGTCATACAGTATGCATCTCAGGTAGGATTTTTACTCTAAAGAATGTTACATCTTTAATAATTAAAGATGTAACGTTCTTTAAGTAAATTATTACACTGATGCAGGGCTGTCATTAAGAGCTGGGGGCCGGGGATTTCCCCCGGCTACTATGAGTGTGGTCCCCGGCTTCGTTTAATGGAAAATAAAAGAAAATTAGAACCAAAAGAAACCCCTAGGTGTTTGATTCCCTGCCTACTTGTTGTATTTACCTGACAACTCGAAATCTTAACGACAACCATGTTGATGTGTCAAATCAGACAGATGGAGACATAGACGTAGTTTTTCGTGATGAATAGCAATATCACAGCTTTGTGTAAGGAAACTAGTTACATATAACATAAATCTAGTTGGATTCTTCCAGTGTTATGAATAGAGTACCAAGTGAACTTGGGTTGCCCTTGAACATGCTTGAATAAAATAATAAGCCCCTCAGGGGCTTAATAGAGGATTGACAGTACTTTTTTTTGCTGTTAGGGTCGATATGAAGTGGCTGTTCCTTTGTGCAAGCAAGCTCTTGAAGATCTAGAAAAGACCTCAGGCCATGATCATCCAGATGTTGCGACAATGCTCAATATCCTTGCTCTTGTGTACAGGTAATAATTTTTGGGCCATTAATTACTTTTGCTGAGCAGAGGTTTGTACACACTAACTTCAAGCTTTACAGATGCACAGTTACTTGTATGATGTCTCCTTGAAGCTTTCTTGCAGGTGACAAGAAGGTTTTGTTGAACGCATATTCTTAGTTTCGTCTTGTATAAAACTGACCACCATGTTTAATCCTCAAATAGAGGTTTTATTTTAATTGTTTATTGTTATTCAAAAGATTTTGTTTGCATTGAGACACAATGCACAACTCCATTCCAAGTTTTCTTGATTGACCAGGGAGAGTAAGGATAAATAATATGTTATTGATAAATATGTTAGTGCATAATACCTCACTCCTTGTACTGTACATGCACAATGATTGACAATCTGTCTTGTTGAGTATTCTTTGACAAAGCTGCTATGAATATACCCTACATGGGAATCAGTAGACAACTACATGTACTATCATCCCATTCATAACATCAACCCGTTCATCCTATCCACAAATAGCTTATTAGAACCAATCACATCAAACATCTGCAGCATTTTTACATTTATCAGTAAATGAAACGATTTGAACATAGGGAGGTTAATGTCTTGCATCTGCCATATACATATGTAATGAACTCAACGAGATATTGTGCATCAAGGCATGCAGAATCTTAGCATTCATTTCCCTCATCAGATACAATATAGTGCACCCAGCTGTAGATCTACCTAAAAATGTCCTTTGGGACATAATTAATTTCCTCATGAACCCGGTGAGACACTGCATAGAAGAAGATCACGGCTTGGACAGGGTTACCTTCAAGCACACACAGCTTATGCTTGCTGCTAGTTCGGAAGCATCCATGGTGGACAGTGCTATGACAGACAGTGAGTTGTCACTTGTATCGGAAATCATGTTTGATCAACATGACAAATTATCGGCAAGGATGGAGACCGTTGAGGAAACTGTTGGACAGTTCTTATGTGGACATGTGGCAAGCCCAGCTATTAGAGTCTCAAATGTATAGGTGCGAGAAAGGACAATCTCAGATGAGCTGACCACAAATGTCTTAAAGTTGGGGCAACAAAGTCAGTGAAATTACAGCAAAAGTGTAGCAAATTATTATTTGATATTGAATGATACCTCTCTTCTAACATAAAGACAGTCTTGAAGCTTCTTGTCAATTTTTATCGTAGAAAGAAATTTTTTTCCTTTCTTGAATGACTTTGTTATTTGACTATTTAAGTTGCTTAATTCTCTTCTTTTTGAAAACATTCACTCTCGTATGCTGAAGCCATTGTTAGTGATTCGATATTTTCCTGATGTAAATTCTTCCCTTATTCAAAATATTTTGTTGAAATGTGGATTATGGTTGAACATGTGGTTGCTTTTCACCGTAAATTTTGTTGCTGTTAGTTTTTTTCCTTCACAAGTTTAACTCATTCATTTTCGACTTTGATCTGACACTGTAATAACAAATATTGTGAAGAGGAAAAATATTTTATTTTGTAAAATGTAATGTAGTGAACAGATAAGAAATATATCAAACTGTTAAAATGTTCAAAAGAGTATGTGCAAATGTGGCAGTCAGATGTGTAGAGTCTTAACTTGAGTTTTGCAGTTATTGCTTCAAATATTTGAATGAAAGCTGTTTGCAGTCCGCAAAGTTCTTTGTTTGATGTTATATGAAATCTGCAAGGAATACAATACAACATGAGAGAGAACAGTGGATGCTGGGTGTTGGACAGTTCTGGTGAACACCAACCTATCCTTCATCTGTCCCCTCAACAATAATATTATTACCTTTCCCCTTTGATGGCAGGTTAAATTACTCAAACTTTAAATTTGAAGTAACATACAAAAGTGACAGTCATGTGAAGTTTACACCTCTTTTGTGTTGTCAATTATCTCTCATTATCAAAAATGAGCATCAAACATGAATTCTTGCTATACAGCATGCAAGCAATACTCCAATACCGAAGAAAACTGCTTGGTGGCTTTCATTGGATTGGTCACACTTAAGAATTTCATCTGTAGATTCAAACGTTAAAACCATCTTCCACAACACAGTACCACAGGAAAGTAATGCTTTTTAGCCTTTATTTGGTTGCGCTGTAGAAATTCATCAAGACTTAATAGTAAGTATGTTGGAACCACCTTGTACAGCATGATAAACAACACAGAAAATTACTGGTCTATTTGCTTCAATGAAATAGCCGCATAAGACAATAGTAATAGAAGTGTGCCGCTTGCATGATACCTGGATTCACTATGAACTACACAGTAAAATCACATCATCTTGATAAAATTCATTTTTCACATCCAGTCATCTTCGGAAGTTTTCATCCTTTTTTTTTCACATCCACTGGTGACTGACAAAAAAACTTTTGGTTACATCGTACAGGTCTTTTCTCTTCCATCTATGCCTGTGGGAGCGGCAATGCAAGACAGGCTAATGGCTGTGTCATGCCACCTATAATATGGAGAAAATAAACAGCATAGTATGAAGATTATAAGTTGAAAGTCCTTTGCTTTGTAAAAGCAACACTGTGATAACAGATTTTACTATTCTATTTTTCTAGTTTGTATTTTCCTAATGTTTTTCTGCTGAGCAACTTATCAAATGCATGATGTGATAATAGTGCATAATTATTTTTACAAGAGTGATAATTTTGAATTATTATAATGTATTTTTGCCAAAAAAGGGAAAATTTTAAGTTTAAGCCCCTTGCTTAGTGAAAGCAACACTATAACAGGTTTTTTTAAGTGATCTTCTCCTGAGAAACTGCAAGTTTTTCTTGTCCAAAACATTTCTAGAAGTTGTCACCAAGATAGGTGGCACATTCTTGTTGCCCTCTAGTTACCCTCCTTGTCCCAAATCTCCATTCTTCCCCTTCATTTTGTCTTTCTTTTTTATTCTCAATGTACTTGGAAACTATAAGACTATCATTGACCATCGTTGTGAGTTCCGAGTTTTTCTGTAAAATTTTAGAAACAGCTAAAGATGTATAGAAAAAAAATTGGTTTGGATAAACATGAATGCGCGGTATTCCTTGAGGAAGAAATTAAGGGCCTGCAACAACCCAGATCTGGGATGATCTGTCATAATATTTGTGTATTTGAGACAACCGGAAACAACATCAACCAACAAATTTTTACAATGTTCAATGCAGTCAAACCCCGCTCTATGGACACCCATTTAATACGAACATCTCATTATTATGGACACCCACCTAATATGGACACCTGCTTAATACGGACACCTGTGTAATATGGACACCTCATTATTATGGCGACCCACTTAATACAGACACCTGCTTAATAAGGACACCTCATTATTAAAGACACCCACTTAATGTGGACACCTCATTACTGTGGACAGTTTGCTTTGTCCCTGGGGAAAGAAAGCGCTTACATTTTCTCTAAATTCAACCTGCTTAATATGGCACCCTGTTAATACAGACATTTTCAATGGCCCCCTCGGTGTCCATATTAACGGATTTTGACTGTACTTGACAAGAATGTGAAAAAATATATTTAACGTCTATGTTCATCAATCGGTGACTCTGTAGCCATATCTGTGGCCTGAGTGTTCAGGCACCTCGAGCATTTTATAAACACTAGCTAACCAAAAAATTGGTAGTTCAAACAGAGTTCCAACAGACCTCTTCAGCTTGATGTTTTGTTTTCCTAATGTAGGTCATGTGACATTGCTCGGAGGAACTCTTTCATATTTTGTCTTATTCAAGTTTATTTGTGTGCATAGGTTATGCAAAGGTAAAGGTTGAATACCCTAGAGAACATCATGTGACTTAGCACTGAATAAACAAAACACAAGCTAATGAGGTACAAATATAGAGATTTTGGGGGGAAGGGGGTTAGGGAGATGGAGTGATGCTAAGCGAAATTTTAAGGGGTATTGAAATTTTGTTGCTAATGGAGGGGAAACACGAATGTAGTGTGCAGGGACAATCTGGTCTTTTGGAATACATTAGAAACTAGCTTTAAGTATAGATCTAAATCACTTGTGTATAGTTTTTTATATAACATAGTGGTATAAGAACACTGTATTAAGCTCTTGTTTTATTTTAACAATAAGCAGCAACCGATGATGCCAGAAATAAGAGTTTTAGATATATTTCATGTACGAATCTTGTATTTGTGGTGTGTTAATATTATTGAATACCCTAATAAGTGCTGGGGGCTAAATGAAAAAAAAATTGTTAGGCGATTTTCTTTTTTGACTTGTAAGTTGTGGTCACATCCTTCATGGGAAATGACATTTAAAAAAACAGCTGAGAGTATTTCTAATGTTAGATAGCTTGTAATGTTATAGGAGGCACATGTTTATTCTATAGCCCCAAGACAGTTTCTCTGACAAGATCAATCTCCCAACTTTTAGTCAGTCTATGATTTTCTTACTTGTAATTGATAGGCAATATTTTATTATGTCAATTTGAGAATATATGAGAATTCCACTTCACTTTGGAAATTACGTGTTTATTGATAATTGTCTACTTTTTATGCAAGAGTTATTTGCACCACAATGCACTGTGCCACGATTGTAAATCGCACTAAGGAACGTCCATGGCCCACTAAGTGGCTTTCGTTTTAAAATGTCACGTACTGATGGATTCAACAGTAGTTTGCAATAAACAGCACTGTAGAAAGGAAGGGCTTGGTAGATTTCATTCGAATGATGACACTCGTGGATTTTACGGATTTCTTTCAAAGAAACGATTTGTTTTACATGATATCGTTACAGAGAGAAACCCTCTCTTGTAAAACTCTTTACGGAGAAAACACTCTGAACAAGTCCCTTTTCAAGACCTCCAGTCAAACGTTGTGTAATTCATCTGTGGTGCCCAATGAGGAAATCTAATTTTTCTCTTGATTTTCTGATCTATAATAATTGTTATTTTTTAAATGTTACAAAGTTGAAAGAGAATTCTCTAAAATTTTGTGATCTAGCACTGTTGTATAACATGCTGTCATCGAAGCGAACGAAAAGCAATGTATAACCTTAAGTTAACAGACCCCTTTTTACAGTGAGTTCGCTTTTACCACCTGCCTCAAAGATAGATCTCCTAGGTTCTAAATTTTTTAAGTAAACTTATTCCCAAGGGAAATAGAAATTGAAAAAAGTGAAGCCATTCCATTTTTAGAGTCAGAATGTGCACAATTTTCTTAATTTAGAATTTGAAATGGCCAGGTCGTAATCCGGAAATTGTACAGCTTCCATTTGAAAAGTTAGATACGTCCTGTTCAGGTTTGAGGTAAAGATTGTTTCTTTTCGAAAACAAAATTGAAGGATAATTACCATAATAATCAAAAGATGCCCTTTGGTAATAAAGATTAATTGCTTTGAGGAATTCAAAGCATTTAGTGAGTAAATAGTTCTGAAGCCAAGTTAGACATAATTATCTAAAAGCATAAAATCAAATGTTCTGCTGCCCAGGCATAGAAGACTGCTTGGATAAATAAACAGGAAGTTTACATTTGTGCAGTGTAAAGGGGGTCTTTTGACATACAAACTGAACATTTATGGCATTGCAAAAATTACTTTGTCTGAAGTACGCGTCAATGAAACCGGGTATCTCTTTTCTGACCTGTCTTGTATATCTGCTAGAAAGGACCGTGTGAACTGTAGAATGTGTTCAGTTAGGTGACTAGAGCAGAACAACGACTTTAATCTAGCTTTTAGATGGTCTAATACTTTACACTTTCTGAAATGAAACTAATATGTGTTTCTGAAGTGTGCTTTGTTTTGAAAGATCGTGGTCGCCGTTTGAAGAGGTTTACAACTTAAATTTGCAGGGAAATGTGTCGTGTTTGTTGCTAATTTGAGACCGCGCGCATTTAGGTTGCCTTCCTTCTTACTAAAAAAGCTTCAGAGGTGAGACTTACTCAAAAACGTTCTGCAATTCAACGTATAAGCTATGTCAGCACAAAAGATAGAGTATGAAAACGATTCAGCACAATGGGCCCTCACCATGAAGATTTAGTCATCAAACGATCAGTATGTTGGTAATAACCGTTAACCCACAAACATCAAGTTGCCAATATTTAATTTAACATTCAAATAGAAATTGATGCTCTTTGTTATATGCTAAGTAGACTGTAAACTGTATTATGCTTTAACGGGAAACACAATTATATCTACCCCATTAATGATCATTGAAGGTTGACACGAGCTTGATCAGTATTAAGTCACAATATGAAAAATGAAATAGTTGAGACAGTATTTAAACGAAGTACCTCCATGTGTAGAAGAGTAACTAACGATGTCGAGTGTAATTCTATTCTACATATAGCGATAGACTCCCCAAACCTCTGTTTTGGTTTGGTAATCTGACTTTATTGTGCTTCGCCCTCGTTCTCGCGACTTCGATAATCTGACGGATCCCTACATGAATAATAAACAGTTGATATTTTGACTACTTCTTGTTAATAACAGAGCGTTCTTGGTGGATATCTTAATTTTCAATCGTAAACAAGGTCTTTGTTAAAAGCACCAGGAGAGAGTAACTGCATACTATTTATCTTCAATATTTACCAAAAACATGGACGCAAAAATGTTATCTGCTGCTACAAGGCTGTAAACACAACTGTTGTTTTTAGCTTCCGTAAAGCCACGTGCAAACGGACGCAACACTGTTGGCCAACAACTCGCAACATTGTAGGATGCTACGTGTTGCGTCCGTTTGCACACCCTGTTGCATGTTGTTGCGTGTTGTTGGGAGCTGTTGCCCAAAGTTTGAAACCGGTCAAACTTTTATCTACGTGCAAACGGACTTAGGAGTTGTTGCGTCCGTTTGCACGAAGCGTAACACACAGTGTGTTTTTTATGCAGTTATTTTTAACACTCTGAAGAGTTGTCAGAGAAATTCTTGTGGTAGTGTGTGTCTCTTGGGCGCCGTAAAAGTTGCTTTTTCCACAAAAGGGTGTAACATAATAATATTACCCCGGCTGTGCCAGTTGATTGACTAGTACAAAATAATTGATTTGTCTTTTCAAACATGATATATTATTTCAAAGTGAGCCTGGCATGCTGCTCTCTCACCCTGAGCGAATTATTCATCAAAGGTGCCCTTGCTTTTGAAATTTTCCCAAAGTCTTTTCCACCTTCCCAGAGCAGGGAGGAACAAAATAGCTTTCGGGTCCGCCCATCGAAGGACACCCTTCTATAAACATAAGAAACAATGTTTTATTGTTCTGTCTTGGTTCTTTTTAAAGCTCTAGGTTTGTCTTGTAAGTCTGGTCTTCAAAAATGTACTTCAGTCAATCGAAGTCGGGTACATATCGTGAAACATGTGCAGCGTCTCAAGTAACATGCGATGTGATCATGAAACATAACTCTTTGTAAATATCTTCTCGGATACTGAATTTTAGCAATAAATTCTTTGTTTTCGAGCCAACTCTCAACTTTCCTCACGTGAAAGAAACCGAAATGTTGTAGTATTTTTAATCTTTCCAAACAAGAAAACAGATCTCGAAACTTATAATTAGTGGCGCGCGTTTGTCTGACACCGAAACCTAATGCAACTCGTGCGTGTCATCTATGCAGAACTTTCAAAACAACATACAGTAGTTAGATCTCGTTAAATCTAACCTCCTGAAAATATTCCAGTTTAGTATTGAGAACATTTAAAGCTACCGAAGTGTTGATTTCGACAGCGATAGATTACGGACAGAAACTCGGACTCTTGAGAAAAAATAAAGGCTTAGGCGGTTCGAGTAATCGAGATCTAACCGTAAATTGGGCTGTTATTTGTGGGGCTGTTAGGTTGAGGATAGAGTCAATTGATGGAGACTTGAAGTGAAGTTCCAAGTTTTGATGCTATGCACGAAACCCCGCTTTGGTGTGATGATTCAAATGAACCTCCCTCGCTATTCTTTCCGAATCTTTGTGCTATTTTTACAGCATGTTATTTGGGATTGAAAGATTAGATGTGTGGTGAAACATTTCAGTTAAAATACTGAAGTGACCGTATGATAGGGCTCGTTTATCGGGACTATCTCTATCACACAGAGACCACGATCAATGTAATGTCTTTGATTACAAAAATTACCATATGACGGCGTTTCGACGTTTCCAAATGTCAACTCTGTCGCACTTCACATTGAAGAAGATCATGATCGGAAAACATCGAAACGTCAGAACGCGATAATCTTCATAAATATATTTGACATTCCCTTTAATTTTAGTTAGGGTTTTAAGAGTTAATTCTAATTACATCTTGCTACATCTTACCTGTATTTTCAGAGATCAAAACAAGTACAAGGAGGCTGCAAATTTGCTCCACGATGCGCTGACGATCCGTGAAAAGACGCTTGGAGAAGATCATCCCGCTGTAAGTCGCTGGTGTTTATTTTGAGGATTTGTCTGGTTGTGTCTTTCTTCAGTTCATGTTTACGGCAAGTAAATGGCAAGAATTGGCACCTTTCTTACCTGCATGTTTAGGAAGATCTGAAAAAAGAAGTCACAAATCGAAATCCATAAATGTCTGCTGAGCGCGTTCGCTTTGTCATATTTAACCGCAGTGTTTGCTTTCGGGTTTTCGAGACTAACGGTTTGCAAATATACACCACTCCGATCAATTGCGCTACCGAACACGATCATCGCTTTGTTTGAACTAGCATCGAGCTTTTAGAACCTCCCTCAAGACTTTGTTGAGTGCTAGATATTTCGGTTGCTTTTTCACTGGCGCGGAGAATGTTTCTGCTGAAATTGAAACTTCTTGAAGAGATCTGTCAATGATCGCTTAGTTCTGTCCATAAAAGGAGCGACAGAGGGGTGTCATGTTCATTCTGAGGTCGTCACGCTTCGATCAAGAGTCTGTTAGCTGATCCTCTTGTGCGCAGTTGTGCTCTTTGAACAACAGTTTTAAAATAAACAAATTTGAAGTAAATTTGCTTTCAGCGGTCGGTTTGCCAACTACAGAGGACAAAACATTCCTCGACAGCAATGATTACAGGGTATCTTCGCGAACTATTAAGTGCCTTGGTGATCTATCAGGGGCACTCACCCTCAGAATTTTAACCTGACAAAGTTTGCAGAAGCAAATATTGCCTTGTATTACCTGAGGACTGGTAAATTTTCTAGATGACCGTTCCATTCATGTGCAATTTTCGAAGCTTATGTAATAAATTCCCTACGATTTTTATTTTCACTTTTCACTTCCGAGTTGGGCTTTTTTTCGCAGAGAAAAAGGAGGAAACTTAAAATTTGCGGATTCAAAAATGCGGTTGCGATGGCAACCGGAAAATGTCTCACTTTCGTGTCAAATTGAATCTAAAATTTTCGGGAAAATAATACTCAAGCCCTTGTAATTTCTAAAAGTCTGGAGTTCTCCTAGGATGACCTAACAGATTCACATTTTATAGCGCATTAGGAGGAAACCGTCGTGGGATGCCACTGATCTGATCTGTGTTGACTTAGTTTCGTAAAGTGTGTCGAACTCAAAGTGTTCAAGAAGTGTGTTTCTTAGAACTCGGAGAATTTCATTGGCGTCTAAATTCTCCCAAACAAAATCATAACTTTCGCTTTCCGCAGAAATCGAACTGCCCGTGGATTATCTACATAGCTATCAACGCGGAATAGTTTTTCTTCTTCATTAAAAATTATATTTTTGTTGGTGAGGATTTAGTTTTTGCCATTTTACTACTATAAATTTAGTGCTTCATTTTCTTGTTCAGTGCTTGTTTCTAGGTTGAAATATAATTCCATGTATTGTCAGTTGCATTTCAGTTTGATATTGGCTTGTCTGCCCTCAACAATTAGCGGCTAATTATATCTCCTTAGAAAGCACGAGAGAACTGTCCGCGGACTATAAATAGCTTTCATAGTCACGGAATTTTAATAGGCTTATGGTTATACAAACAAAGTTGATAAATAAGCGCAAGTTTAAGAAACTGAAAAGCAGTCTATTTCAGTTTTGGCGTGGTGCTGTGGAACTAGCGATCACCATATAACGTCAAACAAAATATTGTTATAAGAGATCATAAGAAGATACACACAAAGACCGGGATAGAACAACCAGTAAAAAAAGGAAGTCATCACGTGATCTATTTGAAAAGTTAAAGCTATCACAACCACTGCCCCCACCCTCCACTTTTCAAGTTCAATATTGTGATCGGGAATGTCTAAGATCACTGTCAATAAAGATGTGATTTAGGGGAGTGAGGGGGGAAGGTACTGAACAAAAGTTTTCATACGGGGAGGCTCCGCCCGGAGGTCCAACCTCTTACTCATTCATACCATTTTTGACAGAGAAGCCGGATGCCACTTTCGTATAGCTTCTATCGACAAATGGTACCCCTTTTAAATACTCAGTTTAGAACTTTACATCCCTTTTAACTAATGTAACTGCTCTGTTTTTAAAACATGAGTAACTCACAAAAGCAGAACGTTTTTTCAAACTGTTTTGCTGACAAAAAGTGCATCTGGTGGCCATTGTTACAGACCAACACAACTGATTTCCCTATCCTTTCATATACTTCAACTATTGAAATCCCCACCCTTTTATGAACCCGAGTCCTGAAAAAAGTATCCTTTCCGGGGGAAGCCTCTCCATATAGGCCATGATAGGGAATACCGCCCGGGAATGTGATAACTTGAGAACTTAAAATTAGTAAAAACCGCAGGGAATCTTGGGTTTGTAACACAAATGAAGGCAAAAAATAGTTCTTAGCACCCGCCATTTTGCTGTCTTTGAGTGTATTACACATTAACTCCAACATCTGATACTGTTTTGGAACTGAGTATGCAGTGCAGCTTGCATAAAAAATACGAAAAAAATCTGAACTGGACCAAATAGAACGAACAATTTTGACTGGGTACAGACTCCTCAATCACCTTGCTCAACCTCAGGATGATTAGCCAGATTGAATTAAATCAGAAGCATATAACTCTTCAGCTGGGCCGGGTTGTTCAAAGCGGGGTTTATGATAACCCAGGGTTAGTGCGAAATTTGAATTCAGCTATAAAAGCTTAAAAGCAAGTTAAGATTAATTCTTTTGGTCTGCAACTTGATGATTGGATGCTCTAAAAAGAATAGGAAAAATTATCCGAGACTGAAAATGCAAAAGAAAACTGAAGAAACCCAGATTAAAATTTAACCCCGGGTTATCACTAATCGACCCTCCAACAACCGGGCCCAGGGTTAAATGCTTTTGATTCAATCTCAAATTTGTTTTCCCGAGTTTATGATGTATTAAAAGGCTACTTCCCCCGCAATAAAACGCGAGAAACCAATTTTTTTCTGTAGATTTAGATTGGCTAAAAAGAACTCCAGCGTTGAAGAACAAACAAAAGTGGCCTTACCTTTTCACTGCTTTTCATTTTAGGTGGCGGCGACTCTCAATAATTTAGCTGTTCTTTACGGTAAAAGAGGAAAGTATAAAGAAGCTGAACCGCTGTGCAAACGAGCTTTGGAGATAAGAGAAAAGGTAGGGAGAATTGCGGAGTTTATTACTGTTGCAGCAACAAGCAACGGTGTTTTACAGTGTACATTGTTGCGGTCTTATGACCATGATCTGAGCACTACGTTTCTCCGCTTGTTGTCAACCACCCTTTTCCCGCGCTTTGCGTCGTTTACCACTGTACATGCATGTTTCCCGCCACTTTGTAAACGAGAATGGGACTGGAGGCGAAATTTGTCCCGCAGTTGTTTCTGGGATTGTTACTGGGAACGCGCCAGTCAGCTATTGGCCAATTTTTCCCCCGTCCTTAGTAACAGTCCCAAAGGTCTTTGCGAAAAGTAACTCGCCCCAGTTCCTTCCCGTGGCGAATGGCCGGCTGCTTTTTTTTCTCAAGCCCTTAGCAATTGGTATAAGGGCACTGCATGTACTGCTTGTATTTTTTCTATAGTAGCATGTTTTTTACGTTGTTGGGTGCAAAGTTATTACAATGCAACGGGCTTTTTATTGCAGGTACTGGGTAAAGACCATCCTGATGTGGCTAAACAGCTGAACAATCTGGCTTTGTTGTGTCAGAACCAAGGAAAATATGACGAGGTATGTTTAATAGCTCTTCATTAAAAAAGAAGTTGATTGAAGATAGTAACAAATTTAAGTATCTAACTGACCGGTGGATAGCGCCTACCGTACGCTCTGATTGGCCAGTCAAAGTTGGGGTTTTATTGGGTAGTCAACTCTTAACATTTTTGTAAACATTTTGCGTGGGATTTTTCGTATTTTTTTTTCTTGTCATACACCAAGTAACTAATGCGCCCTGTCTATCCACTCTCTTATCTAAGGAATTATTAAAACTGATTTTCGTCTAACAGGTCGAACAGTACTATCAGCGAGCTTTGGAAATTTACACCACTAAGCTGGGACCAGACGATCCTAACGTGGCAAAGACGAAAAATAACTTGGTATGAACTGTTGGAAAGTTACGAAGCAATTTAATTTTCCTTTTGAATTCCACGTTAAATGTACCCTCTCTATTCCAACAGGCTTCCGCGTACTTAAAGCAAGGAAAATACAAGGCTGCTGAAACACTTTACAAACAGGTACGTAGTGATAATGGTGAAGGTAAAAATTCTGTTTGTTTATTTGATTTTTTTTTCTTGTGTTAAGTGATCGTTTGTGTAATTGCTTCTTCTCAGGTTCTTACACGGGCTCATGAGCGCGAGTTTGGGCCTGGTACCGAATCATCCCTGGAGGACGACGGAAAGCGCGGGAAAGACAACGCGCCTTACGGCGAGTATGGCGGCTGGCACAAGGCGGCAAAAGTTGACAGTCCTACTGTCACTACTACTCTTAGGAATCTTGGCGCTTTGTACCGCAGGCAGGGCAAGTTTGAAGCAGCGGAGACACTAGAGGAGTGTGCACTGAGGTCCCGACAGAACGTATGTAACGTGAGTCTTACAAAGGTTTGCTATAAACTTCTTAGCAGTCCTTCAGGATTGTCGTGTGGGCGCCGGAGCAAGTAACGCGTGAGCGAGGGAGAAGACGCGTTTGGTTTAATACACCCGCTAATAAGAACCTAGTGATTTAAGAACCTGCTGGCAGAAATTTGCCACTTTAATACCCAAAAATATAAGAACCTGTTTAGCCAAGCAAAATCAAGCGGGTTCTTATGTGGGTTACAGGTAAATTATGATGAACAATTCAACCAACGAGTTGGACGTCGAGTTTGCCAATTGATATTACAAGAAAATACTGTACTAAACTGGATTTACAAATAGAGGTATTACTGTAATTCCTACATCGAAGAAAGGTTAAAAAAGGTACAGATTGTAATTGTCTTTATGAACCTTGCATAAAGGACGATTACAATGTACAGTTGTGCTGAATAAATAGTGCATATTTAAGAACCAAACGTAAGCAGTCAACAACTATATCTCCTTGATAGAATTTAAGAACCTAATTAAGAACCTACCTAGCCTAAATTGCCAATAACTACCCCAAAATGAAAGAACCTTTCTTGACAGACTTCAAAAAATGTAAGTTCTTATTATTCTCATTTGGGTGTTTACTTTACATCGCTCGCTTGTAACATGCTTGCCGGCTCGACAATCCCGAGGGGCTGCTACACAGTCTAGTTTTACAGTAACTATTTTATGACAGTACAGACTGAGGGCATTGAGCGTCTCACACCACGAGCAGTACCTTGTCTCTCTTGGCTCGCTGCTTTACGGCCACGGCGTTAAACGCGTTCTTTGACTCTAGTCACTTTAAAGAAGTGTTGTAATCTGATCTCAGCCTGTGGGCACCAAGGGATACAGAACGCCAAATTTTGGGCCAATTGTTGTGTTTTTTAAAATAACAGCATGGTAAACAGTATCAGAGATTCCCCGAGAGAGACTACAAGAACTTCATTGTTTCGCGGGGCCCTTAAAGAACAACCTTGCACCGCCCAGGAAAATGAACAATTCCTCAGTACGGGAATATATCTCTCAGTAGGTTTTGCGTGAATACTACTTACTCTCTAGATCTAAATTGTCGTTCAGCACACTTTCTGCACATTTTATGTAATCTTAACTTTGAAAGGGAATGAAATCTATGTGAATTTTCGTATCATAGGCCCTCGACGTTGTTCGTCAGACTAAAGTGGCACAGCTCCTAGCTGAAGACGTTGGCGGCAGTTCATCTTTCGCTGGAAGCAGCGTAGCATCTTCCTCTCCATCTCTGAACGGCAGCAGTAGCAAAACGTCCATCGAAACCGACAAGGACGATACCAATGACGACAAGAAAAACGGAAAGCGTGAGAAAACATTCTCGCGTCTCAAGAGAACGCTCAGCAGCCGTGGCCAGAAACTGATGGAGAAGATGGGCGGCAGCGGTACAAGACTCCAGCGTTCCTCGTCACGTGACAACCTAGCCCATCATGCCAAGCTCTCCCCTTCGGAGAGGATTTCTCGTAGCACCCCTATGCTTGCGCAGCCGCAACCTGATCCCGACAGGGGTAGATCGGGGAGTGTTAGTACCCGGGGAGCGCATATAGGGTCTTGATGGATAGGTAGCTAAAGAGAGATTGGATCAATTTAGTTTCTGGGGAAATTGCCCACCTACCCCTCTCCTAAGCTAACATCAACAGTTACTTCTTACTTATGGCAAAACAGTGGCGTAGGGAAGGGGAAGGTGGGCAGTTTCCCAGAACCTTAAATTGATCTCAGACATTGTGTTTTTATTTTCTTCAGTGGGCCATTTAAGTCTTAACAACTTTGTCTCGAGGTATACCTTCGACAATGATCATTCAAAACATCCTATTTTCATATATTTTTATTTGGAGGATTACTGTACTGGACTGAAGTTTCAGTGCGAAGGTTTGGTAGTGGGGTGCGAGAAAACCATTTTTTTTCGCTGGACGGCTCACTATCCCTCCCCGCCGGACAAAGCTCGCTTGCTGTTTGTTTCCTACCTTGTGTTTACCTAGTTTAGGTGTTTTAATATGACCCCATGTTGATAGCTATTCACAACTTTAGGTTTTGATATTGGAATCATTGCAGGAGAGGTCTGTTGCATTGGCGGGCGAGGGAACCCGGCAGCTCTAGTTGGATTTTAAACCTATCGTAGTTCAGCTTTATTTGATTAACGTCTGAACTTTCCCTCAAGTACATGTAGCGTGCAAAAAAAAAAACGGTTTCTCCTCTCTATTCGCTGCTGGTGACGTTTCGCCCGAAACATCCCCATAGTACAGAACCAAGTCAGGTTTGAAAAACCTAATATTGCTCTAGTTTCTCTTTTCTATTTTTGGTAATTTTCAATATTTATTATGAGTCTGTTGGTCGTACGGTATTTCGACCAACGAATTCTTTTTGTTTTGTTCTTTTTCTTTTTCTTCAAGGTAATCAGCATTAATCGAATAATATTTAATTATGGTTATCGTAGTTTAGAAAAGCTGTAAATAAGTACGTTAAGTTTGAAAGAAGATATGAAATAAATTATCATCAGAATGGAATTAGTTTTGTTTCTTTTTGTATCATATCTTAAGAGTGATTTTTTGCTTATTATTATTATTATTATTATTATTATTATTATCAATATTATTATTACTGTTTTGTCTTTTTAAGTTTTTCTTTTTGCTTATGGGCGTTAAAAAGGTGTCCTGGCGTTCTTAAAGCCTCTGGCACCGAACTAGCACCCAGAATATTATTAATTGTTGTGAGAAAGTCGTTTCTCGAAATATAGCTAAGCTGGGAAACAATTCAGTGTTGCGGAAGGAAAATCCGCCAGAGAAGGACTAATTCTTCAGACCGATTCAATGAGCATTTTCCTTGCCTATGAAGTCCGCCAAAGAAGGAATAATGTGTTAGAACTGATTTAATAGCACTTTCTTGCATCTATAAAGCAAAAACCCAAATTGTGATGTTTGCTCGTTTAGCCAGTCGTTTGGTGGGGGGATGCATATTTTTCTCAAACGGAAGCTTTCCTCTAGGATTTTAAGCTCAGACGTCTTTACAATGGCATTGTGATATGAGGGCACTTTTTAAGCCGCACACTGCAGATTTTCGAAATACCGTCAATTTGTCCCGGGAGGGAGGGTACTGCCATATATGGGCTATATAGGTATGTGCCGCTGTGAAGGGTATGGTTTTCAAGCAGTTTACTCTAGGATAGGGTATATAAATCAGAGCGTTTGGGTCTAAAATAGGGTATCATTTTTCAGGAAACTGATCAGTTGGTTGAAGATTTTATCTAGACTAGGGATTGTGGTACAAGGTTTTGTTTTGGCTAGACTGTGCTAGTGACTTCGGTAGTTTCTGGAAAACAGCTACTCTAGGATAGGGGGGATCTGGGGAGTTTACTCTAGTGTAGGGTAGCAAAATTCAGCTGAACTAGCTCTGGTATAGGTTAAGGGTTCCAGGGTCCCAGCGGCACATCCTCACCCAGAAATTCCTAAAGTACCCCCCGCTCCCCGGGCAATTTGTCTTAAGCATTTTTTTTCCCAGTCCAGGTGGATAACGCTATCCACTGGATAAATGTCAATTCAGCTGATAATGCAATTGGTTTCCTTAATTATTATTCGCTGGATGGAGATTTATCCGGTGGGCAGCGCTATCGGAAAAAAAAAACCGGAACCGATCCGTAACTGACGAGCGATGATGTGCCTTCTCTGTTACTCAGCTGCTATCTAGATCTAGTCCATTATCTTCTTTGCATCTACATAGGCCTTACAGCGTCTGCCCGGCTTTTAGAGTATGAATGTAAAATGGAGCCGAGCCCCACGGAGAAGTGGCGGAGAAGTTGTTCTAGCCTGCGCAGCTGGCGGTATTCTGTGATTAAAGGTTTGGCGGCGGAGCCGCGATCCAAAAAAAAGGAGTGGGGACGAGGCGTTTGAAATACCGCCTGCCAGAAAACCTCGGTATTTTGAATAGCCCGCACACCAGTGTGGGGGGAAACTGATTGGTCGAGGGCTATACATATGTCAATCATAGTAGATGATCCTTCGCATGATCTTTCTCATATTTCCCAAGGGAGTAGATGGTAGACTATTGCGAAAAATAATGGCGGAGTCGGCCGAATCAACCATCGATAAAGCGCTAGATAAAGCGCTAGAACGTCTCAATGTGAGTCGAGAGAAGGAGAAAATTATTCCAGACGAGCATAGGGACGCGAGTAACGCGACTAACGTGGGTGACCCTCGAGTGTTGTACCCAGATGGCTAAGCGCGCCTACATCATTGCACAAGAAAACAACATGGCGGACGGTGAAGAAGAAAGCACGTGTACTTTCTCTGGTTTGGGATTAAATAAATGGCTTGTAAATCAGTGTGATGCTGTAGGAATAAAAAGCCCGACAGAAATTCAACAGAAGTGCATACCACCGATCTTAGAGGGACGAGACTGCATTGGATGTGCAAAAACCGGTAGTGGAAAGACCGCGGCTTTTGCTCTTCCTATTCTTCAGAAATTATGTGAAGATCCTTATGGCATTTTTGCTGTGATTCTTACTCCTACCAGGTAAGGGCTCTTGATAAAATGAAATTCTTGACAGTTTTGGTTACTGGAATACAGAAATGATAATAGAACACCTTTATAATTATTATTTATGCTTAGAGTTTAATTGCATGTATAATTCTTTCCTATTTTCTTATTTGTTTAACTTTTTTCCAACTCGCCACGATCCTTACCTAAATAAACAGTAACTGTTAGTTCCCTCTTAAGCGACCAGTCTTGATGCCAGAAATAGTGGCTGCTTTAGGGAGTTGGTGGCTCAAGAAAAAAATCAAGTCAATAAGCCAAAAAGGGCAGCCAAAAACTGTATGGATCCACATATAGTAACTGTTTATCGCCATAATATTGTTGTCCATCGTAGTATACAGAGTGAGTGTCAAACTTGATCCCAGTAAATGGCTTTTTTGTCTACCGTATCCCAGATCTAAAGTAAAGACGTTCAACAACAAACTCTACTGTCTTTAATAAAATTTATTAACTCATTCACCTCTGAACGGCCCATAACCAACCGGGAAGATCCATGTCCCTTTTTCTGCTTGTCTCCTAACTTGTGCAGGGTAAAGAGATCTTTCCATCCATTCCAGAATGAGCACAATTCAGTTGAGGAGACTGGAGAAAAAGGCAAAAACCATGTAATATTGACGCGAAAATTTCCACGATAATCTTGTTTCACTACCTACCTACCTTTCCTTTGATCTAAGCCTAAGATCATAAAAGCATTGCCAAAACCTTTTCCCACAAGAATGAAACCTACTAAATGCCCAGCAAAAGAAAAAAAAATGACTGAGGCAAGAAAAGTGAAAGAAGAGGGGAGGAGAGAAAGCGAAAACAAAAAGTCAAGACTGATGTGTCTCGAAATTTTTCTTTTCTGTGCATGCCCGATCTTCGCAAGCTAATATTTTGCATCTGGATTAGCAGGCCGCAAAGTGTATGACCTGTAAACAACTTTGTGGTACGTTTAAGCTCTTTATAGCCAGACAGTGACTAGAAAACTGCTTGACTAGCTTCAAAACACATTTTTTGGCAAAATTACTAGGGTCAAATGGCTCAAGCAAAGTACCAGGTTTATTGAGAAAATCCACTTTTCAGCATAACCAAGTCTGGCCGTTTAATGCCAACTCCTATTTTAAAAAAATCGACAAAAGGCCATTTGTAGATTTTTTGATTAAATAAGGGCACTTACCCCTAGTATCGAATCCCATCAGAGCTCATTATTCTGTCCTTTACTCATGATGAGCATTACATCTTTTCCATTTTAGGGAACTTGCCTATCAAATTTGTGACCAGTTTCGAGTACTTGGGAAACCCATTGGCTTAAAAGAAGCAGTCATCATTGGTGGCCTTGATATGATGAAGCAAGCATTGGCTCTTGCCAAGAAGCCTCATGTTGTCATAGCAACACCTGGGCGACTTGCTGACCACCTTAAGAGCACAGACACAGTTCACCTCAAGAGAATCAAGTTCTTGGTTCTTGATGAAGCCGATAGGCTTTTGGATCCTTCATTTGGCGATGATTTGCAAGTCATATTTGACAATGTTCCAAGTGAAAGACAGACTTTGTTGTTTAGTGCTACGTTGACAGACACATTACAGGAGCTGAGGGAGCTGTCTCCTAATGAACCTTTCTACCATGAGGTCAAGTCTGAGTAAGTTACAGGAAAATAATTCTGTCAGTTCTGTTAGCAAAATGCATGACTATAGTTAAGTAATTTGTAGATAATAAGCTTCAATGGAAAACTTGGATTTTAACACCCTCACATGTTAACTGCCTGTTACAATACCACCGGCATTTTTCCATGTCCTTTTTACCACTTATGACATTACAGGGTCCGAAATTAACTTTTTAATACGAGCGCCAACTGGCAATCAAGTATAAATTCCCCCTCCCTTTTTTTTCAAATAAAAGTTAAAACATGAATAAAAAATGCATCGTATGGAGGTTTTTGTGCTTTGCACTACTTCCGCTCCCGATATCAGAAAGCAACCGTACGTGTACGAGTGAAGTCTTATTTTTTCCACAAATTACTTTTTGGAGATATACATGTAAAGCTATCTGACCTAGAACGTAGGAACACAAAACTGTCTGTTTATGACTGTACTTGATCATATCAAAACTCTATTACCACGAAACATAGCTGCCATGTTGCTTGTACCAGGCCACAACTGAGCCACATTACTCGTACCAGTCCACAAAGTACTTAATGTAGTTACCGTATTTCAGCTGAAAACAACATGGCGGATTGGAAACGTTCAACTCAGTATTGATCGTAGCTGTTGTGGGGGTATTATTACAGGAAGATTCGTTTCACTTTTAATTTAAAAATATCAGCAGGACAAAAAGTAAGACAGCTGTTGCAAATAGCTTCGAGGTTTCAATTCTTAATCAGTTTCTCCGAACGTTTAAGTCCACAATAAAAACCAGTTTTACAAGTCGCTAGCTGGCGACCAGCTATGAAATTCTGGTCGCCAGGACTAAAGTTTTAGTCGCACTGGCGACCAGGAAGGCGCAATTTCGGACCCTGCATTATTGGTTTCAGTGGTTAAAAGCAACTTTGAAACCCAACTTGTACATCTTTCAAACCATATGAGGATGATTCAGTCAAACAGGTGAGAAAAAATACTACAAATCATGTGACTGAGAATAATATTAGGCTGATTTAGCAACAAAGCAGGAACATCAGTTGATGACAAGAAAGTGTGCAGAAAGGACGAAACACAACTTCCGGAACCCAATTTGTCACTCTGCCATTGATGAAGCCAGTTTTTTTATTTGGGCATGCCATCATCACTGCTGTTGCATTGGCTTTGCTAAATCTGCCAATCATTATTGATGTATAGTCAGTGACACAGTTGACTCAGAAAAACAAATCCGGGTCCTCTGAACACGATTTAAACCTATGACCTTCTAGTTACCAGTACAGATGCTTTACCACAAAGTTATGGCAACATCAATGCGCATCTTCTCCACACTCCGCATCTTCGTCGCCTGGTTAGCTCAGTTGGGAGAGCGCAGGTCTGCTGAGCGGGAGGCCATAGGTTCAAACCCCGTCCGGACCAACACTCAGGGTCTTTAAATAACGGAGGAGAAAGTGCTGCCTTTGTAATAACATCTGCAAATGGTTAGACTTTCTAGTCTTCTCGGATAAAGGACGATAAACCGTAGGCCCCGTCTCACAAGCCCTTGCACATGTAATAAATCTGTGGGACATTAAAGAACCCACACACTCTTCGTAAAGAGTAGGGCACGTAGTGCCCGGTGTAGTGGTCTATTTCACTTTCACACTCATGTATGGGGGCATCATCACTCATTCCTTCAGTACTTGTAAACTGCACCTTAAGCAGTCTGGCAAAGTCCCCCAACCAGTGTTGTAAATTATCCCTGAAAAGCCCTGAAGGGAGTGGATAATAAGATATTTACAATTTACAATTTACAATTTACACTGTTCTTCATACATTCCTTATGGTACTGCTTGAGAAAATTTGTTCTAACATCACAACATTTGATCTCTCATGATCATTTCATTAATTCTCATTACCTGTCTGTTTGATCAGACAGTGTTATTGTTGGGAGAAATTGAATGTGGGTCACTATTGGAGCTTAAAGGGTTAGAAAAAAACTTTTGTGACAAATATCCTGCATACTGCTTGTACTACAATGTCAATAGGTGGCATACAGTATTTGCAGTGATATAAATATGATACAGATCATGCCACTTTGACCAGAAAACTTCAGTTCAAATCTTGCCTCACTACCACCTGTACTTTTCATGAAAATTCTTTCCTGCTGAAATAAAGCCTGGTGAATGACCACTGAAAGAAAAAAATTCAAGGCAACTAAAGCAAAAAGGTGGGGGAAGAGAGAAAGTGAAAATGCAAATTTTTGTATGCTTTACATGCCTGAACTTTGAAAACTGTAGTTTAGTTTAGGAGCAAACGCCCTCATAGTGCCTGACTTGGCAACAAAATTTTGGGTGGTTTTGCTTCTGTTTGGCCTGTTAGTGCCCAGAAATGAGCTTGAGCAGCTTCAAATGGCAATATTTGGTAAAATTTCCCCTTTAGCTTATAATCAAGAAATTTAGGACCACCCACAAACAAAGACTTAAGACCTGTAAAACTTGACAACTTTTCTTGTCAGTTGTTCAGCAATTTCATTGCTCCACTGTGAGACAATTTGCATGAGACATTTCCTAGTGTACTACAACCTACGTTTTTGCATGGACAAGGAAAAATCTTGCTATAGAAACTTTGCAAGAGACCAGCTGTCACACTCGGAAATTCTTCATGTGACCAACAGCCATGCCTAAAGCATGGAATAGGCCATTTTACAGTTGTGGGCTAAGTGTTCTAGCCTTTAAGTGAACATGAGGCTGAGGTTGACCTTGTTTTGATACAAACCTCCTTTTCTAATGTAAATTTTGCTTAAAAATACTAGTTATCGTAAGAAAAACATGGTTAACATAATAAAGGAGGAAGGGTTGTATGAAAGCAAGGTCAACTCCAGCCTTGTTTCCACCTGTAACTGTAAAATGGGTTATTGCAATATTATTATATGATGGTAATCTCAATTTCTAATTTCTATTGATCATCCACAACATTTTCCAACCAAAGGAAAAGGAAATTTTGTTTGATTTACTTTTTTTCGCTTTTTTCAGTATTGCAACTGTTGCAGAACTGGATCAGAAATACATTCTTACGCCTGCCAGTGTGCGAGACAGTTATCTTGTCTACATCCTGAGAGAGCATGCAGAAAATAAGTCAGTTATCATCTTTACACACACATGTAAGAATTGTCAGACTCTAGCCAACATGTTATGGAAGTGTGATCTACCCTGTGTTGCTCTCCACTCGCTGAAATCACAAGGGGAGAGGTTAGCTGGATTAGCCACGTTTAAATCAGGACTGGTGAAAATTCTTGTTGCAACTGATGTAGCAAGCAGAGGCTTAGATATACCTCAAGTTGAGCTGGTGATTAACAGCAATGTGCCAGCGTCACCGAAGGATTATATTCATCGAGTGGGTCGCACTGCGAGAGCAGGGCGTGGCGGAATGGCTATAACACTGATGACCCAGTATGATGTAGATAGAGTTAAACAGATTGAAGCTACCATTAATACAAAGCTTGTTGAATTTGAAACCAATGAAAATGAAGTGCTGCCATTACTCAGAGCAGTGATGGTGGCAAGGAGAGAAGCGCAGTTGAAGGTTCGAAGCAGTGCTGTTTTGGAGAAGAGGATGATAAATAAGAGGAAGAAAATGCTTTTAGAAGGAAAGGATCCTGATGTGAAGGCTGTGAAAAGAAAACGAAGACAAAAGAAATTGACTGAGAAAGTAAAAAACAAGTAAATTAGGCTCTGATTCTCCAAACCGTGTTAAGATATTCCTTGTATATTATTTTGCTAAAATAAATCTTGTAATTTCGATATATGCAGCTGTTTGATGTTTCTGCCTGTGGATTACTCGAAACAATATCACTTTGGCTTGTATTCAAGGACTTTTCTCATTCAGGGAGACGTTATGTTAGTATTTTTTTACAACGCCTCTTCAAAAAGATGCAAAAGATGCTGCCATGATTAGGGGTTGGGGTGTGCTTTTTGGCATTTTTTCCTTCATAAAATGTAGCCAAAAAAACTATCATTGAAAGTGGGTAAATGGAGAGCTTAAAAGCAACAATGACAGCGATGGCAATGAGAACTGCAGAAATCAATAGCTCTGAGGGCTTGGTTCCTAAAAGGCCAATTAGCACTAATCTAAGATTACAATTGTGTTTTTATTTTTGTATTTACCTTCCTATGCACTGCTCAGAGTAACATTATGTGTTATCATTACTGTATCTCGGAGTAAAGGCTATTACTATGAAAGCTAGAGTGACATGTTCTTAGACTAGAAAACCTTGCTTGAAATAATGGCTCACAAATATCACTTTTTTCATTTCTTTACCTTCATTGCCCAACTATGACATGAAATTGGCTAATTTCGGGTTTTATCGAGAAGGTAAACCCGGGGGGCACTCAGCAAAGTTTTATATGGGGAGGCTACACGTCGAGGTCCAACCCCGTACCCTTTTAAATACCATTTTTGACAGAAAGTGCCCCATTCGTATACCTTCTATCAGACATGGTACCCCTTTCAGATGCATACCTAGACATTACAATTAGGTATCGACCACTTAGCCTTAATTGATCGAAGGTCCGCTTGAGTTCATTCTTTGGATTGCTTATTTGAAATTTACAAGTTACGCAAGCTTATATTTCGATTCTTGAAGACTTTCTCAAGGACTAGCATTCTTTTCAATAATACACCTTTATTTAATAAAGGTGTATTATTGAAAAGAATGCTAGGTACATACAACACAGCTTTAGCGAATGTAAGTTTTTTTGTACTGGACTACTAAGTACTTCAATATTATAATAGCCCCTATGCATGATTACGTCAGACGAGTAAATTTCCCCCCCAAGCCTCGTTTGTGAACAAAATTTTTTGCATTTGCACTTTTTGTGCGTGGGTATTCTTTTCAACTCTACTGCCTTGGGAATTCATTTCTGTGAAACTTCGCTTATTTTTAATTTCAAAACGAGGGTTGGTGGTGAAATTTGCTTGTGTGGCGTAAACATGCATAAGGGCTATTGGAGGTGAGAAAACCCTGAGTAAATTCCTGATAAAAATAATTACATTACTTTTAGAGTTGTTGATATGGGCTACTGCAATAGAGCAAAGAGCAAGGTAAATCACATGCATTTCCAATGATACAGATATGTCATTCCCTCACTTTCTCAGTATCACCGTATATTTGAATAATGACCACACTTCCATTTCAGCATATTTTAAGTTCCTTTTTTTTCTTTTACATCGAGGTCCCAGCCATGCATGACCCATTCCCTCCATCATAAATATTACAAATAAACAATTGAATAAACAATTATTATTTCAAGGGCAGCATTTTTGTTCAAAAGACTCAGTGTAGTGGTTTTATTTACTTAACATAAATATCCTCACAGAATGATATCCAGTAGTTGGAGGAATAGACCTGTTCGGCTAACTCAATGTTGTACCCAATTCAAACCCTTTGGGAATAAAACGTTTTGTTTCAGGAATTTCCATATCATTTAAATGTGAATGCCACATTATAATGGAAGTACAATACACAAAGAATCTTATCCCCAGGAGATTTGAATTGGGTACAACACTGGGTTAGCCGAATAGGTCTATAGACAGTGGAAACAAAGTCATCGACCATGGTAAAATTACAAGATATAACTTTAATCAAATGAAGATTTTGAGAGAACCATCAGCATTAAGCATCTCCGACTGACAAGAAGATCATCGTCGCTAATTGTCTTTAATAACTGGAGAACAACAGAAATTACTGTCATTTCACCCATGTCTGGAAACATTATGAACACTTATACTGCATGCAAGACTTCCATTGTTCTCAGCCCTTACCCATTGTTCAATATGGGAAATGTCTCTGACCAATAGCACAAAACAGCTAATACAGTAAAAATATGGATTGTTGATCGAGTCCAGTTGACATGGTGAGCTCAATAAACCTGTTTCGAGCTCGGTTGCAACTAAATAATCTGGTTTTTAAGAGCCCGTTAGGCTAAAATTTGCCAGTTGGAGCCTCTCTATTCAAGAACCTGTCTAGCCTAATATTTGAAAACAGGTTCTTATTTTCTAAACTCTGTTTTAAAAAATGCTGTACACTTGGGCAAATAAGATATGTCAACATTTGGGATCCTCTTTAGAAACACAGGTGTTATTGGTGCCTATATGCCCATCATACTGCAATATGTAATGGTATGCATATTTTAAATAAGGAAAATACCTGGTAAGAACCTAAATTTGTGCTCATTACCATTTATGTGAGAACCTGTTTAGAGGGGCTAACTCATCAAAAGGCAGGTTCTTAGTTGCAGGTGTTAACTGTATTCTTGTTTGATGCTTCAAAGAACCGCACATGTTGACCACTTACAGTAACCCCTTAATATAATCAGTTCAGCTAGAGCACAGAAATACACTTAACGACAATTACTAGTTCCTTCAATAATCAGGGATGGTGGAACATTTTTCTAAGTGGAGGAATGACTGACTGGGAAAGCTTAGTAGAGAGTGGCTATGGCTAAAGTCCTCACAATCCCCTGGCTTCACAGGCTATCATAATTTAGTAAAATCCAACCAGTGGTCTATTATCAATGCTGCATTCTGATTGGTTGAGCTACTCTAGACTATAAGTTATAGCCCACTAGTAGCAAAAAGCACCGACTTTTTGGCGGCAAAAAAGGATTAAAGTCTAGCTTTAACTAGCTAAGGTTGTTTTGTCTTTATACTATTGACCAAATAGTTGGATTTTACTAAAACAATTATTCCTCTCGCCCTCATCGCCTCGGAGTCAATAGCCCATTCGGCCTTCAGCCTCATTGGCTATTGACTCAGAGCCCATTTGGGCTCGAGGAATAATTGTTAAAAATCTTCCTGTTCATCAATACAAAGCAATAATGAATACTCAAATCAGCCAGGACCTAGTCGTTGCCCTCACTGCTAAATACAAGTTATGGAAAAAACACTGCCTGTTACTGTAAAATTATGCTCAAACATCCCCTAAGGAAAAAGAGTCCCACCTGAAATACAGATGTAATGATAGCTTCTTTTACTGGGTCAGGAAAAGGACAGGAAAAAAATTATTTGTGTTATCACAAAGATTGCAACTGTATGTTAACACAATGTTAGAGATACCAATTTTATTTGTCAACAGGGGAGCCTACATGTACCAGAAGTTGAAGGGGACATGTACAAAAACCTGTAAAAATATATAAATAACCTGGAGAGTAACAGATCTGATTAAATTGCACAGTTTTTGTGTAAGTAATTTGGAAGAATAGAGAAACTCAAAGTTAACTAATTTGCTCTCTACTACAAAAAAATATCAGTCAGGCATGCAGTCAAAGATTTAGTTTCATGTGTACTTTATGAATTTATACATGTAGGACAACGACTGCTTTGATTCTTTTACTAGGTTAATTTTATAAGCTGACATTTTTTATTCTCCTTCTTAACAGTTTTACGTCATAAAAAGTGATAATAAGCATAGTTCACCAATTCTCAGACACAATAATGAGTTATCTTTTGTTCAGGAAGTATATCTTTGGCCCTGTGCTTGTAAATCTAGAAAGAAAAGAAATCACAACAAAAAATTGATCAAAGGAATTTCCTCCAACGTCCAAAACAAAATTAAAAGCTCCGATATCAAGAAAACAAAGAAGGCGTACTTGCACACTACCTCAATGTTATTATTGTAGCCTTAACACTATAGATGTATAAGCAAAAAACGTTGCAAAATTAATACTCCCAAAACAGAGCTCACGAAACCGCCTTGAGCGAGGACACACAGCTTAATCTACGTGAGAAAACTTTAAACTGTACTCAAATATTACAAAAACCAAAACGAAGAACATATTAGAACGCAAGGGAGACTCATAGTGAGGACATGAGACCGACTGAAGTGTGGTTAAACGTGTCACACGTCACAGCATTTAAATCTGAACGTAACAAGTTTTAAATGGGAAATAGGGACCTTACGATCCGACAACGGCGACGTCCATGAAAACGTCGCTGAAAAACAGACTTCGCATCATTTCAAACTTTTTCGCGATTATCCCAATTCGTCCTCTTACTCAAAAGAAGGGGATTTTGGCTGGAGCTGAAGAGAGGGGGACGCGCTCCAGTTCGGACAGAGATGTTACAATTTATCGCCTTGCCGTTCCCGTTCCCAAGTAAACTTAAAATTTGGTTATTTCACGTCGTAGTTGTGCAGTGAAGGCAAAGAAATGTACAAAAAAGCGGGATGCACGTGCAGAATTGTTGTTTTGCTCATTTTAAAAACATATTGTTTTTTGACGTTCCCGTTGCTGTCGTCGTCGTGGTTTTGTAAGGTTCCTCGAAAACGGTAACGGGGGCGAGGGGGCGAATGGAAGATCAATATTTTTTCTTCAAAGTTTTGTGAAAAGTAGACCAATCGAGACACGATCAAGCGAAAGAGTCCCATTTCAAATTGTATCACTCAAAAAAACCAAAATCGGAGCAGCCATATTGGAATGTCGAGCATAGCACGATGAAAATAAACGCTAAAAATCAACTCACCTTACATGTAAAGATTCTCGGATCAATACAGTCAAGAGGGTCCAGGTAAACCAGAAGAGGAGTTTCTTGACGAATCGATGGCGGAAAACGAGAGAAAAAACGAAATAATTGGGGCGAACTATGCTTGGAATATTCATCTCACCGTCTGCAGCCAGATGGCTTTTCTCACTCGTGATTAGTCGAACTTCCTCGCGTCAATCTTCTTTTGTTTTCCATGGGTTTTA